TTTCCGTGTGTTCAGTCCTAACTGAGTGCACATTCATTTCTATGGAGCAACTTGATAAGCTAATACTGCATTAACACACTGAGTCAATGAAAACTGTCCCCTCAATCTACTTTCCCACTAACTGATGAGAACACAAGTATTAAAGTAATGTGAGATCTGGCTGTGACTGCATTTATATGGACTACAATCATCTGACTACTTCAACCAAGAAACTATTGTAGTTTGATTAAGCTGTTTAAATACATCTAATTTGCATGCTACCAAGGAGAGCTTGACTAATGAGAGAAGTTGTCTGAGCTTTCCTCCAGTATTCAACAACAAGCTGGTCTTTTATGTGGAGTATAGTGATTCACCAATGTGCAAACTATGCTGTTGATGATTAAGTCATTCTTTGTTTGTTAAAGTATTTTTTTGGGCTCTTGTTGCCTTTACTTGATAGTGACAGCTGAAGAGCGACAGGAAACGGAAGAGAGAGAGATGGGACGACAGACAGCAAAGGGCCACAGCCTGGACCCAAACCAATGGCCGCTGCAGCAACCACCAGGGAGTCCCAAGTCATTCTTTTAATGTTATACATGAGGGAGGAGCTGGGAATCGTCTGAATGATTGCAGACTTTTAGGGACATATTTTCATGCTAACAGTTAGCAACACCTGCTGGCACCAAATGACAAAAAAGAACAAACCATGGCTCCTTATTTGTGGTTTGCTATTGACATTGTGAAGTGAGTAATGGGAAAATTGTTCTTAGAGATGGCAGTAAGCTGTTGGAAATATCAGCAGTGAAGACATCATCAGTAATGGAGTACTGAGCCCTGCAAACATTTTCTGCAGATGTTTTTAGCTCTGCAAAGTATTAATTTACCCCAAATTCAAAGAAAAATAGTTAAAGGTCCAGTGTAGTTGTGATTTAATGAGCATCTCATATAGGGGTGTAAGAAAATATAAAAAAATAACGTACTGCGATAGTTTTGTGATTTTGTATCAATTCCCAAAACACAGTATCGATTCTTGTGTTGTCAGTGTCAATGTTGTAAACTGAGGGCAAGGATGTTTTTTAGTTTTTGGGCTTTTTTTGCGTCATTTTCACATACTCTAAGAAGTAGTACATACTAAAATGTTATTATGGAGCACTGAAGCCAACTATCTACACAGTGCACATCTGATATCATCATTCTTCTCTCTTAAAAAGTGGACCAGGGGACCATCTCTCTGTTCCTCTCTCTGTTTCTGTTCTTGTGTATGAACAACATCATTCACAAACAAGTTCACTCACACACAACAGAGAAAACTTAAAATACTCTGGACATCCAATAGAAGCAAACAAAGCAAAGCACATTAAACAATCATGTGTAAATATACAAGGATAAGCATTTGAGAGATGGACAGAATTATATGTGTATATGACACATGAGTGGAAGAGGGATCATGGTTTGTGGACAGGAGCACTGAATACCACAAAAAGAAAAGACATGAAAAGCTAAAAGAAAGATGAAGAGAAATATGGAGAAAAAAATAGACTCATACACACACTTTGGCAACATATGGCATGTTGCAGTGTTTGCTCAGAAGCCACACTGTGAAATGAAACTGGAAACGTAAGCTACCAGCACACCTGGAGAGGTTAAAGGTTAAAGCAACACAGACAGGAAACTTGAAAAGAGAAGCAGAAATAACAAACTTGACTCTGTTGGCTGCGGCTCTGTTTGGTTTAGTGGAGTAGCATTCTTCCAAAAAACAAAAGATGAAATATGTACAGGTTTTTTTTTTGCAGCACTTTTCATTAACACATCAGCCATGTGTAGAAGCACAGAATTACATACATTTTGTTGTTTCAAGAGACTCTGGGATTTCTCTTTTTTTTCTCTCTCAATGGCAGTTTTTGACCTCAGGTGTGTACGTGCACGCACACGCACGCACACACAATACATTTTTCTATTTTAAATTAAAGCGTTCGCCATGGTTGACAGATTTGACCAAAACTTCAGCACAGAAAATGTCTTCAGTAATATGTTTGGTTTTATGTACATTGTATCTCGGTATTGTGTTGCTGTGATCTTTGTGTTGCTCCTGTCCATACTTGGTCTGAAGCAACACCTTCATAACATGACTACACTGTCGGAAATGGGGGACAAAATCCAGTTGTCGTTCTTCTACAGCTAATATAAGGCTTCTCTGTGTTAGACAACTCAAGTAGGTCTTCTCCAAAGTTACTATCTGGTTTGTATAGAATTCTAAGCTGCAGCAGAGTGATACATCCATTTCTTTTTACTATAGCAGTGACGCTGTCTGTATGCCTGAGCCATGTTGCAGGTGTGGGCCCCCAGTTTCTCAACATTATTTTAAAGACATGCTTATGGTGCTTGACTGGTCCAGTCTGTTTGAATGGTAGTTGGACTGAAGTTTATATACCTTCAATAAGCTAACTGGATGGATAGGCTATCTTTGCAGGTGACAACCTATTGTCAACCTATTATAATATCTTCGTTGCATGAACCAGTCTGCTTGTGTTTTGAAAGTAATACAGTGATGCTACTTTTGAAAGCCATGAAGAACAGCATACGTATTTTCATGCCACCGTTTGTGTTTTGTCAGCAGTCTCTTGTCCCCAGTAGCCCATAATATTCTTAGAACATTTTAATAGCTTTTATGTTGTTGTTTATGCCTTTCACAGAACCCTGCTATTGTTCTGGACCAATTAACTGTAGTTAATAACTGGTTCTATTAATACATTTACTACATTAAAATCATATAATAGGCTGGTTTGAAACTTGATAGCTCTATAAACATAACTAAAATATTATCTGTTTTATGTCATGCCGTGTGTGTGTGTGTGTGTGTGTGTGTGTGTGTGTGTGTGTGTGTGTGTGTGTGTGTGTGTGTGTGTATTTGTGTGATTTTGCACACGTCTTTAGGCGAGCAACGTCAGTAAAAAAATAAACAACAACTGAGACCCATCATTACTAGCTAAACACACATTGACTATATAGTTAGTGGACAGAGCTTCCGGGTCTGTGAAGTGAAGCCAATGCGGAACCGTCTTAAACTTAAGCTCAGTAAACCATATAGTCTTCCATACAGCATGATCTCCATTTTGTAATTCGTTGTCCAATTTAGTGTGTAAAATAGCCGATAAAGCAGGGTATGCTTTAGGGCGTGACTACCTGCCGTCCATCCAGCTCAACGCACCAAACTCAGATGGAACTGTCAAACTAGGCAGTGCTGATCAGATATATTGTATATAATTTATATACTGTATTCAGCTGACTCCAACTGCTGAAGCAATAATTAGCTGTTGTTAAAATGTAGACTTTTGCAGCAGTTTGTGTTATGTTCTTACAATGGTGTTGCTCTTTCAAGGGATCACACAATGAATAATTACAGCAACTCTTATTGTACACATGACATGAGAGTATTGTACTGAAGATATTCTTGGAAAAAAATCAAAACCTATCCTTTAAATAAGCTTCTTTGACTATCTAAGTCTATTCTAGGGCAGTGATTCCCAACCAGGGGTAAGTGAAAAGATTGCAGAGTAACTCAACTAATTTAAGTCATAAAACATAAACTGAACAGCATGTGCAGTATGTGTGAAAACTAGCTAGTTAGTAAGCAAGCAGATAAGTCTAAATACTGATCAAGTACATAGTAATGGACGGAGGGTCACAATCGCAAATGTTATAAAGATAAATCATTGAAAAAGTAATTTAGCAATGGTTGCAAAAAATAATCAAAAAATTGATAAATGGTCTAAGTGGATAAAAGTAAATAAAAAAATCCTTGGAATAGCCAAGAGTAATGGATAAATCGTCTAAAAAGTTAAGTTAAAATGGATAAATAGTTGAAACATTCAGCTTGTGCCACAAGTAGTACAAACGCAAAGTTAAACAAAACACTGACAGTTCAACTGAATGAAAAAACTTTTAATAATATTATATAATAATAATAATAATAATATATAATATCTATTTTAAAATAGTCAATAGAGTTAAATATCAACCAGTTTAAAGGTCCAGTGTGTAACATTGAGGAGGATCTATTGGCAGAGATGGAATATAATATTCATTTTCATCCAAATCTGTTCATGATGATGTCGTGTTGAAGAAGGTTGGGATGTTCTGCTTTGGGGCTAAAACAAGGGGATATAATGAGATTAGTGATTTGTGACACTTGGTCAACATGGGCATATAGCCATCATTAATGAAGGAATGTTCAAAATAGTAAAACATATTGTAAAACAGCACTAAAGATTGGGTGGTAACTGTATTTGGCATGCAGAAGCATTGAAGGGAAACTGCATCAAAGAGCATTATCAATGGAAGCGTCAAATGAAAAAGAAACTAAAGCAGTAATGAATCACCCATGCTTTGAAAAATTGCCTTTGAGAACCTGAGATTGGTTGAGGCTAATTGAGTCATTTGTTGACAAGGCCTAATTATAAGAAGCCCTGAGGCTTCCTTTTACCCTGCTTGCTTTTGCTGCAGCACATCCAGCTGACTGGAGCGCTGCTTTCAGGGAATTTCCTGCCTGTCTCTCCTACACGGGCTGTACAGCAGTGAAGGTGTCAGCTTCTCTTTGAGGCAAGACTCCACATGTAAACCTCTATCTCCCCAAAACAAAGAGGCAGAACCGCAGCCAACCTCTCTTTCACCCCTGATGAGTCAACCCCCCACCCCACCCTCCAGCCCCCACCGTGAGGTTAGACAGGTCAAGCAAACTAACAACAGGGCACGGGAGCAAAATACATAAATCACCCCCCAGGAGACAAAGACGAGACAGAAAGGGAGATAGAGAGAGCAGGAAATGACAGTGTGAGCAGAGACCGGACAGGCATCAACAGGTTTGACTTTCACTGCAGTTACATCCAGGGAACCAGCCTCCCTATTGGCAGTCAGGAGGCAGAGCATCAGTGCAGAGGAGGTGATGAGAGAGGATCTTGCTGTTGGAGGTGGCGACCTGAATGGCAGCAGGGAGGGGTCGCCAGGGTCAAGAGGGATCTTACCTCGAACATAAAGGTTAGCCGGAGCCGAGTAGCGAGTCCCGGCGCTGTTGACTGCCACGCACTCGTACTTGCCCTGGTCCGACTCCTCACTGTTCTCGATCTGAAGTGCTCCTGAGGAGGGAGGCCAAAATGTCACAGTTCAGGACTACACTACACACATTCAAACAACACACACACACACACACACACACACACACACACACACACACACAGGGTGGTAATCTGACACACTTTGCTGTCCATATCCTTTTCTAAATTAAGCCAAACTTGATCCTGTCATTTTTTCATTTTTTACCTATATCAAAAGCATTCAGGATTTATGTTTACTTTTTGGCAGCCTACACTTTATCTAATTATTTATGGCAGTGACTAAATAATATTAGGCTTGTTCAAGATGACCCAGGACTCAGCGATGATGTCATAAGATGGGCTCACAGAGCCTCCAGCATGGCTGTAAAATGTATCGCTCTTTTTTGCTCTGGGCTCCAATGACAGTTGAGCAAGACTCTGTCACCTCGGTCAACTTTCTCCTTTCCTGCAAAGACATGTCCTATGTCCTAGGTCAATTCTGAAAAAACAACCACATTTTGAAGATGGTTAAAAGATAAAAGCGACATCTATATAGTCACATCTTAAGTTTGCTAATGTTAAAGCGAACTTACTAGCTAAATAACAATTATTGTTGATAGTTAGCATACTACACCTAGCTAGTTAGCTAGGGTTTTGCTAACAGCATTTTTGGAGGATGTCATAGATAGCTACCATTCCCTATTGTCAGCTGCATCATGCTATTCAATAGGAACAGTCTGTAGTTGGTCATTCTGAATGTCAATCAAAACACTTTCCAGTAAAAATGGTGGTTCATTAACACATCAAAAACCATTGTGGAGCAGAGAGAAACAACACATGTGATGTTGACTGTTTAAATCTAAAATTAGCAGCAAGATCTTAAAAACCCTGACTGGTCAAAGCCTTTAGTAGAACAATTGTGTTATATTCTTATATTTCTATAACCCTTTCTCTCCTTACTAACCTACACTGCTCTGTGTGAATATGTACACTTATGTTCACTTTGAGAGCTTTCATTCTGGGGAAGGAACGGGTCAAACATAAGCTGAAACCTACCTGACACCTACTCATTCCAAAAACATTTCAAAACAATTACAAAGCATTTATACAAACATGTAATATCCAATTGTCAATAGAGGTTAGGTTTAATATACAAAACATGAATGTATTTTTAAGCGACTATGCGGCTGTGAATGTAACATACATACATCATGCAGTTTTGCAGTGGACAATAAGAAATGTACATATTTCAGAATACAATCCTGAAATGCAACATGGGATGGGTTTGTAACACAATGTCAAGAACTTGATTAAGAGAAAAACAAAATCAGCGGTTGAAATAATGTGTGTCAAGTAACATCTCCGGTGGATCTGGTGCACAGCCAGCCGAGAGACGGAGGAGGAGCAACCTTTATCTGGGATGCAGCTAGCTACGACAGTCTGCCTGAGATGTATGTCTTTAAACTCACTCGCTCACACACATACACACTCACAGTATGTAGGTAAGCATTTCTCCTACATATCACAAAACATCATGTCAAAATAATAATGAAATCACACTGTTGCTGAAGTGTGAAGAAGAGTGAATATCTATTTATTTCCACTTTCTTCTTTATGATGATTGTCTCATTGCACATTTAGCACCTCTAGACGACAGAGGCCTTTTTGGAGAAAAACAGATGCTGATGGATGTTTCCTTTGACCTCTTGGAATGAAAAAGGCTAATCAGTGCTGCCAGAGAATGTGTGAATTCTTATAGAGACTATGAAGTCCTAACTAAAATGTTAGAAGCTGCCGAACCTTCCTCTGCCCTTCAGACTTTGAGCCTTCAATAATGGAGCATGTGCATTACAGCGTGCAGACAGAGGTCAAACAAGCGCTTTGTAGACTACTAATTATGCAAGTGGTGCAGTAAGTTATCACATATGAAGACTCACTTCCATGACCTGGCTCATTGGCCCAACCAAGGCAGTGAAATCTCAGAGAACTGACAGTAGGATGCTCAGCTAAGCATTCAGCATGATAAGGTTATCATGTCAATGTGGGGACTTCCATGTTTCTTGTGGCAGCTGATAGGAGTGCAAGGCTGTGTTCACACATGGAGTTTGGTTTGGTTTAGGGGGCTTTCAAACCTTATCTGTTTGGTGCAGTCCGCCCTTTTGGTTCAGTTATGTTTAGGCTGGTTGAAAGCTGTCAATCAAACAACTGGACTGAGATAACCTGAAAGGTGGGTCTGGATCCACGTCTAATCAGACCCTGGTGCATTTTGTTTGTAGTGCGAAAGGAGATCAACTTTGAGACAGTCCTGTGGTTGAATCCCCTCTAAAATTTCTAAATTTTAAACTAGTATTTGCTGATTATGGAAACTGTCAACAAAGCAATCTGTCTGGACCAGCTGAACTAAACCGTAGCTTCAATGTTTATAACTCATTATTTTAAAGCTGTACCTTATGACCAATATATCAAAAAGGGCTGTTCTGGCTGCGCCACGGCCACTAGAGCTGATCTGGATTATGTTTGTGATTCCACCCGAATCCATAGAGAGTTTCAGAAGCATGCCAGAAGTGGCTCTCCACTATGCTCCATGACAATAAGCGGCTGGTCTATTTTTGACGGAAGCCATGTCTAGCTGCATAGAACAGATCGAGGTAGAAGCCCATTCATAAAAAAGAAAAAAGAAATCAACAGGTCGAGCAGGCTAAACGCTCCACCTCTGAATTTCTCCTGGTGGGCTATGAAGTCACATGGAGGATGGATCTAAACAGCGTCACAGACACAACATTACAGAGCTGTGCCCAGTTGAATCGAGGTGTTCGAGGTAGGCATGGGACAATATGAACATTTCATGTGATACACGATATTATCACAATAATCATGAAACTATACTTTATACTTTTTAAAACATAGTAGAATATTACATATATGTATTGCATTATAGATAGGGACCTCATCTCCTGGAATCTATACTATTTCCACACATATGGTTTAACGTTTTTTGGACGGGGATACAACAGGTGAGCTGAGCCTTTAGCCATGGTGACAGGCTTAGACTGGAAAAATGCGGGCTCCTCCTTGACCGCTCGTTCAAAATGAATTAGGAAATCAATATAGGACTGTATGCTGTCAAGCTAGACAGCTTAAAGATATTCACAATAATCCTGATAATCCCATGAATTGAGTGTTTTTTTAATCACAATATGTGATTATATCCTATATCGTCTAATCTGTAGATAGAGATGAAACCAGACACCACTTTTCTGACAACTGAACAAACCGCACCAAATATGTTTGTGTGAGCACAACCAAAATGAGTACTTGGCAAGTGTGGCTAGCTAGTAGACACCCTTTATGATCCCTTGCTTCCTAATGAAATCATTTTCCAACAGAAGACTTTTTGATCTAAATTGATTATACTGCTTGTTAGGCTTCATTGGTAAGCTGTCAAAGTAAACTATTATCAGTGACTTTTTGAATTTGGGAATTGTCACCTGCAAGTGTCTCTTGTTTTTGACTCTTCCAAAACCAAAGGTTTTGTGGTGAAGGCAGAGAAAGTGCCGGAGCCAGTGAAAAGGACAGAGAGCTGAAAATGGGGACACACTAAGGTGACAGGAGGAGGAGGAGGAGGAGGAGGATGGAGGCGATGAAGGAGAGGCGGCAGTGAGGAGAGGAGGATGAGTAGACATTTTATGTACCCAGCATTCTTACCTCTGATTGGTGTACCACCTGGTGAGGTAATTTGAATGCAAATAAGATTAGAGATAACCATTAGTATAAAGAGAAGATAGAGAGAAAGTGAAATAGAGAAAGGCAAGAATGGCAGGAGAGCAAAGAGAGGAAAAACAGCAGAGATTAGAGCGACTACTATTCTCACCCTGTTAAAAAAAACCAAAAAACTTAGCCATAAATATGTAAGGTATTACTTCATATTTAATAAGTCAATATTTTCAACCAAAACCAATTTCATAAATGACAACTGTGCAAAATGTTCGCTTGGTGAAAACCATTTTGTTTCTGTAGAAATTATTTTTTTCCCATAAGCTCTTGATAACCACAACATTGTTTTAATAATGTATGAATTCATACCCCAGCTACGACAGCCGGTCTGTCATTTGTGCATCTAGGTATTTACTTTCACATGGTGCTTATTTGTGTTATACACCTGGCTATTTGCTCCACAGTGTTGGCATCCTGTTGTGATCATAAAGCTCTTTATTCCCCACACCTGCTTTTTTTCTCTGACAGCACCTGACTATCAAGCACTTGACCCCTCATTCAGTAACAACAGGCCTGCTTTGGTTTGAACCCAAAGGCGTTTTCTTTTCTCATGCATTCTGCCGTAACAAGGCAGATAACACAAGCTGCCTACTCTCCCTCTGATGCAATTCAAAGAAACCTGCACTTGTGTCCTGGAATACACTGTGATGTTGCTGCCTCAGTGGTGGAGAATTGTAATACCAAAATTAGCATACTAGAGATTTATTATATTTATTATAACAGTTAGTTATAACAGTTAGCCATTATGATTTGGGTCATCTAATCTTGTGCCAGCATTTTCACATGCCCTATTCAGTCCTTTTTCAATCTGAGGAAAGGATCTAATTACAACCAATATTGCAATTTTAATTGCTATTATTTTCTACCAATTAAATACAAAGCAGAGTTTTAAACAAGTTACAATTGTACCAAATCGAATCACAAAAAATGTGTTTGTATGTGTAATCAGACAAAATAATGCAGTTACTTGATGTTCGGGTCCTCCGTGAGTTTAAACCAGTCAGTCAGAGAAGCTTAAGAGCTATGCTGTGACAAACTTTTAAATACTGTCAAACTGGATTATTTTCGAAAGAAAAATGTACCTTATGTCAATAGTGCTTTATGTGTATATTGTTTCATGACATAAATAAAAGTATCAGATATTAGATGTCAACTGACTACCTCTAATAATACAATTCTAATAATTGAGCCCCGGAATCCCTGTGGTCCTGATTCAGAGGTTTTAATCATTAATCATTTGTCTGAAAGTTTAGAGGGGGATTCCACCAGCTGCCCTTTTATTTACTTGACAACTACTGTCCTAGCAAATTGTCCGAATACAGCTATGAATGGGGTTCTCCTAGTTTAAGAGGTCCCATTCATTTAGGACAGTTGGGAGCACTTCTCAGGCTTAGATAGGCAGGAAACTGGTAAATCATCAATAAAAAACAACTGTGTTACACAATATCTGTTTTTTGCTAAAAATGTCCAAGGTGCTCTATAAGATTGTGTACAGGAAACAAACACCTAATCCCTGACTTTAAAACTAACAACAGGTAAAAGCCCAAGATGATACTGTTGAGAAAACTGACAAGATAATGTGTAGTTTAAATACATTTTTTGTACTGTGTTTTCTTCTGAACTGCTGTTAATTTGTTCCTGCTCTGATTAACAACTCTAAATGGCTTATTTTCCAGAGCAACAGCTGCCGAGCTTCATGGATATCACTGTATCGAAGTTGTGACTGTAACATAAACCTATAGGATCTTAATATTATCCAGTAGCATTCTGTATTTTTATGTTGAGTTATGTTAAATCATTAAAAATTTCCATAACTGACTATATGTGGCCATTAGCTATCATTTATCTATAGCAAGACCTACCACTCTGCTGGTGTTCTTGCACTAAACAAGTCTTTTTACACTAGTCTAGCATAGATGCTGGTTTTCAAAGAGCATATTAGACAGTAGCCAAAAGTTTCTTTTTTGTCGATTATCTCACAGAATGAACTTTAATTAGCAACAATTGAATACATTTGTTAGCAACAGTTGTCATCATGGCTGAGGAAAATTCTGGGTCACCAACTAAACCTTTCACCTCCTGCAGCTTGTTAAGACTGTTAATTACTGAAGTTATGTTATCAAAATTGCAGCTCTTGTAATTTGAAAAACACACTCAACTGCAATTTAAAAATGATTAATGGCTCAGCCCTAGTACTAATACTTCATTTCAGTAACAAAATAGTAGCATTTCCTCCTTTGATCTTACATATCCCTGGTGTACGTCCCTGGCACCATTTGGGCATATCAGGTCATATGCAGCAAACGGTAGAGAGAGGGAAGGTTAATTATGCAGACGCCAGTGATCTGGATAATAATCCAAGCCACTGTTGACTCGACAGGAACACAAAGAAGTGTCAGATAGGTGGAGAGGAGAGGGGGCCCTGGAAGCTGTGTGGCCCCAGGGGTCTGATGAAGGGGACATCAGCAGCTTTCAGAGGGCTGGGCTGGGCAATACTGAGACCTGCCATGACTTCTGTCCACAGCTGTCTGACAGCTAGAAGAATCCCACGCCTCTTCAGCATGTAATCAGGGTGTCATGACAGGTTTCTGGGGTTTCATTGTGAAAAATAATAGGACTTTATTATATTTTCACAATGTTTGGATTGAAAGGATTTTTTTTCTGTAGTAGTGTCCATCAATAAAGAATGTAGTAATGTACTGGCAGTTCTCATATTCCGCTGTATCAAATTTCCTCGAAATCGTTTCATCCAGCTTTTTTCCATGCCCTTTGTACGCAGAACTAATAAAATCTGGTCTGGAAATCTGACTGGCTGTTAAAGGAGACCTCCAATGATTTTATACATCAGTATATACAGTACTACTCACCCTGTGAAAGCAGTTGTATATTTTTTTCTGTGGTACAATTGTCAAATCGAAAAAAATATAACCCCAACAAGGTCATAGTGATGTCATTAGGATTATCAAGGTTCGGGCTACTACAATTTTCTTAGCAGAAAGCTCATTTATGTTTGGCAACAGCCACTATTACCTATACATCCAGGGGCTCATCCGACTAACATGGTTTAGCTAACATACTTGTCTCATTGTCAAAGCTTTCTGGGTGGTTCTCACACTTTAGAATGTATGTTTCACACATTATTTAGGGATTTTCACACTGCACTTGGCCCAGGGATAAAAGCATTCCCAGAACCTTCTTAGCCCCAAGTTGAAGGAGCTGTTAGCTCCAGGCTAAAAAAGCTTCCACATTGGCACAATCCTGGCACATTCTAACCCTGACTTCAGCCTACGGTTTTCTGGCCCTGCTATGGAGCAGGGTTAGCCCAGTGTTTGCGGGGTTATTCCTGAAAAAACAGGGCTGAAAGGTTGACCCTGGATTAAAAGTTTATGTGGGAAAAGGGGAAAAAGTTATTCCAGGGTCAGCTCTTAGCTCAAAATAGCCCAGGGCTAAGAATATGCAGTGTGGGAAAAGCCCTCAAAACTGAGACCTAAATAGAGTCTATTATTAGTATAATATGACTTGAATTATTTGGTCCATTAAGCGTATGAAAACGAATAAGCCATGTAAAGAGGTCAACGTCCTGTATTGAATGGTTAAGGATGACATACTGTAAAGCTTAACCTATACTAGGAATTGCAATACTGCTATCACTGGAGTAGTCCCTTTAACAGCCAATAAGTGCAAAATCATTTAGCTCGAGCAATCTTAGTCCACACACTGGCCACTGGAGTGTTCTGCTTTCTCAACTCACACATAAAAAGAAACAGGCAGACAGGCAGTGTTGTGACCAGTGTAAACACACAGTTATTGCTGTGTTTGAGCTGCTCAATCAGGATCTCGATGTTTCACTCCAGCATTGTTTACCACAGAAGAGTTTTGTCCTGTTGCACCGATCTTCTTGAGCTCCTGTGGCCAGCAGTCACAGTGCTCCTCGGTCTTGGTCTTGGTCTCATAACTCTCCCATGGACAAGCTTTGGTTGTAATTACTGGCAGACAAAGTTGAGTTTTGGAGCACCAGAGGAAGCCTTAAAGACAGAGGATTTCTTTTCTTTTCCAAAAGAGAGCAAAGGTCTCAAATTGAAAAACAAAGTTATTAGTATTTCTTAATGGATCAAAGTCATTTAATAGGACTAACTAATTCATGAGCAAATCTAATCACTTCACTCTATAATGAATTCTACTGAAACAAATAAACTGAATAATTGGGGAGTGCTGACGTTACACACCATGAATTTCATTATCCTTATGTGGCATAGGATAACAGCCACCTGTGCTTGGCTGCTGTGGGACTACATGTGACGATTAGGCACTATGAACCAAACTGAAACAAATTGCCATGCTGCTCAGTTAATAATACATGGCATGTTTGTCCTTACCTAAGGCCCTGATTGTGACTTGGGAAAATCCTCAGAGTGGACTTCAAAGCCAATGATATCCTAGAGCCTGTCTCTCAGCCTTTCCTCTCTGCCTGTGTTGAGATGAGAGCAGCCATAGGAGGGGCCCCAGGCCCTCAGCGATGGGAAATCTGCTCCTTACTCTTGCTGCAAGTGCTGGCAAGAAAGTTTGGTCCTGGATAGCCATTCCAACGTTGTCTAGGTGCTTGCATTTTTTGGCAAGAAACAAAAATTTCTATTTTCTTACAGAAAGTCAGAAAGAAGGCAGCTGATTGTACGGAGCTTGGTTATTCAGCCAGCAGCCATCTTCGCAGCAAGCTGCTGGGGCTGGATTCATGGAGAAAGATGCCCTATCTGCACCTCTGGATCCTAGCCACCTCCTCACAGAGCTGTTCACGTGGCTGCCTCTGCTTTAACATTCATCACTGTCTGTGTGTTGTTAAGCACTGTTGGCCCGCCAATATTCCCCACACAGGTGCTGTTCAGGTAATTAATGAAATCTATGATGTCCTGCTCAAAGTAGGAAACTTAGGTAGGTTATTTCCATCATGAGCTTAAGATAAACTTCAGATCTTACACTTTCTTCATATCATTGTTACTCTTCATGTAAGTGGCACAATTAATTTTTTGTACCAAGTGTAATTACAAATGTGTACACTTTTTGTGATTAAATATGGAATTATTACATTAAAAAAACATGGCAATTTGAAATCATATGCTGTAAACTATTTTTCAACATTAACCATGGTTCTCTTAGGGCTGGGTACAGTTTCACTAATGCTGATACTATGAGTTTTGTAAGTGGAAATGCTTTTTTTTTTTTTTACCTTACTTTGAAAAATATAAATAACTTGTTGATTAATTGATTCTGTTTAGAATTTTGATAATCAGTTGATTATTTAAGTCATTTATTAAGGGGAGATGCCAAACGTGTTGGTTCCAGCTTCTCAAATACTGACTCTAGTGTCATTTCTACACACGCAGGGCTCTGTGGTCAAATTAGCAAGAATAGCAATGCAGCGCCTAGGTAGACTTTCAAAATAAAGTCTGCGCATTGTGAAATGGTCACAGTTTGGTAAGGGTTAGGCACAAAAAAAATGGTTAGAATTAGAAAAAGATCTTGAAATACCATACCTTATGTGACCTATGCTTCTTAAAATAAATAGTTTACTTTTGGTTTTACATGAGACATGAACAGTGCAGGTCCATGAATTTTACCAAAAAACATTACTTACAACTCTAGCAGAAATGTTGATTAACAGCACCAACCCATTTTTTTTATTTTTTCACTTTTTTTTGCAAATGTTCAATGCGGTCTAAACACAAGCAGCAATATAATAAAATACAGTCTAAAAATGTCAAAACTAGACTAGACTAGAGACATTTGAATTGAAAGTGTTTGAAACTGTAAACTACAGAGACATTTTGGCTGGTATCATAAAAATACTGAGGTTTGATACCCAGCCCCAGTTACTGTAAATATAATGACTATCTTCCAGACAGAGCATATTTACATATGAGTGTTGTATTATGCATACTGTATACAGTAACAGTCATTGATGTGTGGCCTACCAGACCTGTTTTTGCTGAACAAAGAGCTGTGTGTGATCATGTTGAGATAAGTGCTTTACCTGAACGCAGCTGTTTTATGCGGCCGTTGCTGCTGCTGATGTCCACAGGCAGGAAGTCTTTGAACCAGTAGATCTCTGGGTCAGGGTTGCCGCTGGCTGCACACAGCATCGTAGCAGTACGCGTTCTCTCGACAACCTTCAGCTGGGGCCCCATGTCTATGGTGGGGAAACCATGAGGGATCTGGTCCTCTGTGACAAAGACAGACACAAACACACATTGGCACTGACAGCTGGATGTGATAAGTAGATAGTGACACTTCAGTCAACCACTGGATTGTGTGCTTGAGCCTAGACCCTGTAGTGAGATTTCCCTGCTTATCCAACAAACTTGAGCTTGTGAGGTCCCCCCATGAAATTCAAACATTGTAAAATCCAGCTCTAATGTAAATATTGCTGGGCCTCAGCATGACTAATCCTTCTATGGAATTTATCTTCATGCATCTGTGTGAACCACAGTGAGGGTGATGCAGAGAAAGGCCCCTACCATGCTCGCATAATCTGAAATGCTTAGTGTGGTCAAATGCCACTTCTGACAAATTATGGATGAAACATAATAAAATCTTGGGCTGAAAATCCCATTCCACACCTCTGTCCACACTGCTGGGGACAGACAGCACAACAGCCAGAGCTTTACACATGCTCCAACCGTCTCCCATACATTAAATGATTTATTTGGAACGGTCACATCCACCCAATAGTTGAGGGAACAGATTAATGCTACACGTATTAATATTAATAAAACTAATGGGGCTTTTACATCTGTAGAGGATTCACGTTAGAGGTATATTACATCTATAGGATATTATTTTATATTGTATTATATTGCCTATATTGTATTACTACATAATGGACAAAGAGCTCCACAGTCATTCTATCTCTCTCTCTCACACACACACACACACACACACACACACACATAATGTGGACAAGAGGAACAAGACCAGAGGTCGATCACTAACCAATCAACCCCAGATGATCAGAATAAACAGGTAAACTATGGGACACTAGAGCCAGGAAGTTCTGAGAAGGTACTTAGATACTAGGCGTTGCACATTAGTAGTAGTAATGCCATTTATGCTTCATCCTCCCAAAACATTGATGAATAAATTATTAAAATGTATTTTGCGTGCTGTAATAATTGTGTTTAAACTACTATTGTATAACTTTTACAATAAAGAAACCTGGAAAAAATAAAAGTATTTAAATCATACAATACAAAACACCAACATACTAACAAGCACTAAAAGTTGTCTATCAACCAGCAGTAACAAACTGCACAGGCAGCAGGAATGATATGGCAGCGAGTGTGAGAGCTAGTATCGGCAGCAGCGGTGAGTCAAGTTGAGAAGGCTTGAACAGTCTCAGCAGCGAGTGTATACAACTATGGTAAGCCCTGAGGGGAAAACATGACACAATCAGTCACCACTCACACAGCTTAAAGCAAGTTAAACATTGTCATTAACCTCTCCAAATAGTTTGAGATTGTAATGCTTCCATTTTGATTGCTGGTAGTTAATTTGATGACAAATTTAAAAAAGATAGTGGGTAGGAGAAGGCAAGAGCCTTTTTCATTGTCCTGCTTTCCTCAAGCAGTATATAGCAGTGCAGGCCCAATATATACAGGACCTGAAAAAGAATTGATACAAAAAGTTAATTTGTTCATTTTTTTGCCAGCACTACGGTACACCCTCGACCATTATCAGGAAACATCCATTGATGTGTTCTGCACAAATGTCAACAGCAGCCATATTTATGCAATATTTGTTTTGTTGGGATTCTTTCCACGAAGTTGTTGTCACCCAGTTCAACAGTTTGCCTTAAAACTTCCTTCTCAGAGTCATACCTGAGTCAAATCTATTCATATACATCTAATGGGATAAGTGGAAGACACTTTTTTCCAGTGGTATTAGTATTCCCAAAGTGGTCCTCCTCATAGCTTCAGCTCTTGTCTCATAATCATCAGATTCAGACATTTCAGCATCAAAAGTTATCTGTGCATGAACAGTTACAGTACCAAAGGAACAGCTTATAGTTAATTGAACATGGCTATTTATCCTCCTATTATTTGTGTGACCCTGAAATGCACATGGAATAAGGAGATGCACAGCTTGCAAACACTCAAACTGCTAAAATGATGCAAACTGCAACTTCAAACTGCCTGTTGCATATGTTCGAAAAATACTGCACGTGTGTTTGGGACAGAATCACATCTGTGCCTGAAGATTCTGTGACTGTGAAACAATCAAACAAAACAAAACAAAAACAAATAATTCAAACCTGTATTCCCATTTGTGCATTGTGATTTTAAAAATGAATCCGACTGTCAGTGTTGAGTAGATGTGATCCCTTAGAGCGCTGCAAAACAGCAGGCTGCTGCCAGATGTGATGAAATGACAGCTGAGGATAGGGATTTTATGATCTACACACAAAGGAGACTGAGACTCACATTTCTGACTCACTCCTAGAAATGACTGCAATCATTAGGAATGATAGCAATGATTACATGGCTACAAGGACATAATTAGCCTTTGCAATAACCATGGAGAATTCTGAGGAAAATGACTGCATTATATTTTATATTTACTCTATAATTTTTATTCACCAGACACTTGCCAACACATTGAGGGATTTTTTAAAATAAATTTTGTTTAATGAAGTCAGTTAGGTACTTTTAGTGGACAGAGCTTTCAGATCTCTGAAAACAGAGGGGGAGCTCCATTGGCTGCAAGTCTTAGAGCAGTGGTCACCAACCTGTTGATCATAATCAACTGGTAGATCTTTGACACTTTCCCCGCACCCCCCAAAATAAAAAAAAAAAAAAAAAAAAATTTTTGTTCTTATTTAATTTTTTTTTTAAAAAACCTCTCTCAGATCCAGCTGATGTATTTTCCCGGAAAGGTGTTTTAAAGTGAAATAAAAATGAATACAGGTATGTAACGTTCGCAAACGAAAATACGGCCCCCCGTAGCCCCCCCCGCGGGGGAAAAAAAAAATAACAGAAGGGGGGGCCAAAAAAAGAGGAAAAAAAAAAAAACCCCCCCCAAAAGGAAAAGAAAAATTTTATTAAAAAAAAAAAAAAAAGTATGATGGGCACCAAACAAAAAAAAAAAATAAAAAAAAAAAAAAAAAAGGGAAAAAAAAAAAAAAAAAAAAAAAAAAAAAAAAAAAAAAAAAAAAAAAAAAAAAAAAAAAAAAAGAAGAAATACAGGCCGCTATAGAAGCATCATTATGTGCTAGTCACCTTTTAGCTAAACACATAAGCCTTTTACAGATGGTGATTTATTTAAAAAGGCGATGGCCATTACTGCAGAAACTGTTTTCAACAGCTTCAAAACTCCCCCATTCATAAACCGGTGGCAATTAATACTGCCGGGCCCCAACAACAGCAGTGTGCGTGCTGGTTTTATAGCACTGTGTCGTAATGACACTGTAAGATATCGCTGCCTTTGTCATAATCTGATCCCATTGATATAGAACAGGGAGCAGACACATTCCAGCAAGAATTTGATTGACCAAGTAGAGTTGACATGGAGATGGTTTATTTGCAAAATAACAGAGCTGAAAGGCAGATTGAGGGACAGTGACTTTTGGGGACTTGTCAGCAGGGAGAAGTTTCCTCTGTGAGATGGTGTTTTCACAGATGAAAATTTATCAAATCAAAGTACAGGAGCCGCCTTACTGACAGACACCTCACAGACTGTCTGTAGCTATGAGCCAACTACAAAGCACTCACCGACAGTATTCAGTCACAGCCATCACACAGACTTGAGTAAGTAACATAAATGAAACAGTTTTGCCTTCTGACTGCATTGTGTAAATGATGCTACACTCTTTTTACAATTAATAACATCATTACCAGCAGAAAATCCTTGTATGACATATTGTCACAGATTGTGCTGCTTATTAATAGACTGACCACCAGTGAATTAGGACGATGATGGACAGAAAACTGTAAATAATAAATTATATTTCACCGTACTGCTGTGTATACTTAAATAAATACAAAAGAAAAGGCACATTATTATCAACCACATCATGAACAGCCCTTTTGGAAGAGCAGAATATGCTTTGGGGTAATATGTTTATCTGTGTTTATCAATATTTAAATGAAATCTCATCATATTTACAATAAGAACCACATGGTCACGGTCAGCGAATAACCGTGTTCAGAGTTAAAAGAAACCAAAACTGTTTTGTTGACACATCCATGCACTTTGACCTCCTCCCTCTGTGGATACCACACTACTTCCTCCTTTGCTACCATCATAATACACAATTACTACAGCCACTAGAGGGCATTGTTAAAACAACTGATTCTGTCACTTGTGGGGGGTTGACTTAAATCTCCTCTCCTTAAAAGGACACAAATTTCAGCATTCAGTGTGACAAGCTCCCCGTGCCACACTGGGACAGTCTCTAATAAAGAGCTTAGAATAGGCTATGAGGAGGGGAGGAAAGATCCTGTGGTGACAGATAAAAAATTAAACTCCAAGGAACAAAGAAGAGGTGACAGCCAGGTTGGCTGAAAGCCAGTGGAAGACTTCCAGTGTTGAAAAACAACCTCTTCTCTCCACACAGTAAGCAAATGAGACCAGTCATTTGTAATTGCTTCTGCTGTCATTAGAGTGCACAGGAGCAAAAACCAAAGGTGGCCACCTGTGCAGAGCTATTGTTAGGGAACTTTAGGGCACTGGGCTAACCAGAGGGGCACTCAAATCTCTCTCTGGTGAGACACAAAAAAGTGTCACATCAGGGCACAGATATTTACAGCCTGTCCACCCTGCAGCCGTCTGGCAAGAGATACAGTATCCACTGCTGTATGCTGGGTATATAGGTATGAGTGGTTCTATTTTATTTTTTTATTTAATTAGATTCTAGTTTCAATATTTGTATATATGTTCTATGTGCGTGTAGCATGAAGGGGCTACAGCTTACCTTTCATTGTACAACCCTGTGATGTAAAGTGACAAATAAATAAATCTTGACCTTGATAAAGACTTAAAACAACCTTTCCCAGAAGCCACTGGTGCTAAACCAACCAATTGTTGTAAACTGTGTTATGGTGTCTTTATCACTTTTAAAGTAATCCTTTCTTGTGTTGCCAACCTTAAGCTACTTGCCAGTGCATACTGTGATGGCCCTCTGGACTGTTTGGTTGAGCTTTGTTTTCTCTTCTCTTGCAGGCACAT